CAATTGACTGGGGGTGATTTTGTCGATGCCAATGGTGTTCAAGTGGTGCTCCAGATGTTTTGGGTTTGCACCTAAGGTAAGCAAACTATCTTTGCTTTCTTTTGCCATAGTTGCTCTTCTTCTATTTGCAGGTCTTTATATTTTGTGACTTTCTCTAGTTCTTTCTCTTTTATTCTGCTGTCTCCAGGTATTGCAATGTCCACTATCATATCATCATCATCATCATCATCATCATCATCATCATCATCATCTGCCTAAAATTGGGAAAATTCTAGTGACATGCATTCAGTTGTTGTTTTTTTAATCTGTTCAATTGGGTCCAATTCTCAGAGACTGCCTGGACAAGTCCCTGCAGTTTCCTTGGCAAGGTTTTCAAAAGTGGTTTGCAATTGCCTCCTTCCTAGGGCTGAGAGTGACTGGCCCAAGGTCACCCAGCTGGCTTTGTGCCTAAGGAGGGACTAGAACTCACCATCTCCTGGTTTCTAGCCTGATACCTTAACCACTACACCAGATTGGCTCTATTTCAGTATCTTCCCCCAACATTTTCACATACAAATTATGTATGTGCTTGTGAGATATAAAGGAGATGAAGGAAATAACTTTTGCCTGTAGAAAATTTTGTATTCAGTTCCTGACATTTCCTGGTAGGTATGGAAAAGCTTTCTGTACAAAATCCAGAAGAGCAGCTGCCAGACAATGTGTTGCAGACCAGTATACCTCAACTTGATATCGTCTCAAAATGTTGGACTACAATCAGAGTTACCATTGCCCTCAGCTAGCAGAGCCACTTGCACAGTAACAGCTCTAGTCCAAAACATTTGACTCCCCAGATTGGGAAAGACTGTTCTAGAGCTCGATGGAGTATCAGTTGTCCTTGGTAAAAGGCAGCTCCCTATGTTCCCTGTGCATTTATATTGATGGCTATTGTGAGGTATTGAGAGCATAGCCCAAGTGCTCTTAAATAAATGGTTTCATTTTTGTTTCTCTGCACTATAAACACTAATGCACCCAAGAGCAGGATCCTCAGCTGGCACAATGCTTCTGCCATTGAAATTTAGCAGAGGCTTCTCATATCTGTCAATATTAGTAGAGTCTCCCTCATGTGATGACTAACTGGACTTCAGTGAAAACCATTGTACAAAATGATATTCACGTACTGTGCTGTCTGATTAAATATGGTCCCTTCAGCCTTGCAAAGTGATTATAATAGTACCAGCATCAAGCATCAACAACAGATCTCACCTTTCTCTAATGCAAACATTCACAACCTTTCCAAGTATTATAATGGCTACTCTTTAAAAAATCTGACATCAGGTAAAAGTAAAGGTTCCCACAAATCAAACCCTACTCATGGTAACTATGTGAACACAAATACATACTTTTCTTGGCAGCAGTATAGAAGTGGTTTGCCATTGCCTGCTTCTGGAATATTTTTGTTTTACTTCCATTCTAACCTTCAGGCCAGAAATTTCCTGATGTCTCTCATCCAAGTATTAACTAGGTCTGACTCTACTTAGCTTTTGGGGATCACCCAGATCAGCCAGTTGCTGCTGCCTTCTGTGACAAATGCTACTTAATTTCAGTCCCTTCAAGCAGTGTTATTTTGTGCAACAGTGCTTCAAGATAAGAGGGCTTAAGATTACAGGCATTTACATTATGAGGCTCTCCTCGTACCTCAGAAGTGCCTGTAACTTAAACCGTCTTACTCTATAACAGGTTTTAGGAATACCAAGTACACATTTGTATTAATATTTCTTTTTTAAAAAGATAATTTTGTTTTAAATCTTTGTTGCTCTTCTAGTGCATATGCATCACTTTTTATGACACTATAATGAAATAAATTACAATATGAATAATAAAGCACAATAAAACTTGGATTATCAGTAGAACGCATTAACACTTCTCACAGATAAAAACTCATCCAATAACTGAATCCTAAAGCCACAATCCTATGTACATTTACTTGTGAGAAAGAGCTATTGAATACATTTAGTCTTATTTCCAAATAAATATGCATAGAATTAGGCTTTACTAGCCAACTCATAGTCATTCAAAGGAAATATCATGGGATGCTACACACTACAATTTTAATTTAATGAAACACTTATTTATGGATGGCCTCAACATTCAATAACCTGACCAATGAACTTCATAAACTTGTGATTGTCTCGGTGTTTGGAGATATTGTCTGGATTCTAGGTCACATCCAACCATGTCAGGATAATCCTTGGATCCATAATTGCCATAAAGGAGTCCAAATACCTCTGAAAAATGCAGGTCATCCACTGCCAAGTATTTTCTTCCCTCTGTGGCTTCTCTTGTTCTTCCAAAATACTTTTGATCCAGTCCTGGATCTTCTGGGTCTTCTTCAGTGTATGCTTTCTTTTATAATTGGTGTGATGTTCAGTCATCTTCAGGGCTTTGGGTTGTACTTCCTTGAGCAAGGCATTGGTATCTTCATCATAGTCCCAAATACAGGCTAAAGCAAGGTCCTCAGCAGCCTCCTCCCAGTGGCCCAGAAATATATGTGCTTTCCCTCTTCATCTGTACACTTGTGCAACATCAGGGTTGAACTCTGAAGCTTTGTCGCAGTCTTTAATGGCAGCATTGGGCTTTTACATTTTGACAAAGATACTGGCTAGGCTGATATACAAGACTGAGGACTGTGGATTCAACTTAATAGCTTCTGTAAATAGGTCAAGAGCTTTCTGCAACTGTCCTTCCTGTAATGCATTACAGGCCTCTTCCTTCTTCTGATCAGTTTTGGTTTGCATATCATTTGTTGCTTCCACATTGTCATTTCCCATTTTCTGGGAGTCATTTTCATCTGGTTTGGTAACTCCTTCCTCATTCATCTCTAAATCACTCTCCTCACTGGTAGACTGCTCTGGTGGCTTCCCTTCCTCTTTACCAAATCTCAGAGAAAAGGCTTCAATTCTCTGGAAACCTGAAATGGTGTCCCCCATGCTCTCCAGTGAATCTCTTAGGAAACTCAACTGTTTTGCTCTTAGAAGTGTTGGGTCCTGTTTGTATAGACTGAGCAAGGCTTGAAGATCACCAACACTTTTAGAATCCATTAGACTGTTGGGTCATCCTTTCAGAGGTATTTCCTTACCTAAACAGAGAAACAAAATGACCACCGGCAGGCAAAAAAGCAGTGAGAGCAAGAACGACTTCCTGGCAGCTTCCCCATTGTCTTTGCTTGTGGGAAGCTGGCAGGAAACATTGGAAATCATTCCTCCTCCTCCTCCTCAACTGACCTGTGGAACTGCCTGTCACTTTGCTGGGGGGAGGGGGAACAAAGGGAGCTGTAGACCATTAGAAAATTGCACCCCGCTCCCCATCCTGGTGTGTCCCCAAGGGCTCCTTCCTTCCAGGGAGGAAGAAGGTTCACCCATCGACTGCCGGCAGCCCTGAACCAGCCCTACCTCGCCAGCAAGCATCCAAGTTGCTCCCTTGTCCTTGCCTGCTGCCCACCACCACTGAGAGATTTTAAATTTCAGCCTTGGCTCCAAAGCAGCCAATAGCCGCTCACCCGTCGGGCCTTGCTGCCAGCCAATTGGGCGCAGCAGTGGGAGCGGGAATGACTTCCAACTTCCTGCCGGATTCCCCATTGACTTTGCTTGTGGGAAGCTGGCAGGGAGTATCAGAATTCACCCATCCTCCTCCTCCTCGGCTGACCTGTGGAACTGCCTACCACTTTGCTGGGGGGAGGGGGAACAAAGGGAGCCGCGGACCATGAGGAAAACTCTACCTCCACTCCCCATCCCAGCATGTCCTCAAGGGCCCCCTCTCTTCAGGGAGGAAGAGGGTTCACCTGTTGACCACTGGCGCTCCCCAGCCAGCCCTACCTCGCCAGCAGGCATCCAAGTTGCTCTCTCATCCTTCCGTTCCTGCCAACTGCCGTTAAGAGATTTCAAATTTCTGCCTCCAGAATGGGCCTTGATGCCAGCTGATTGGGTTCAGAGGCCAGAGGGAGGTGAGAAAGAAGGTGGGGATACATCCATCCCATCTTCCCTTGCACCACACAACCTATGGGTTTCTGGGAAGTGTAGTTGGAGGGTGAGGTGGCGCCGAACTGACTACAACTTTGCCAAATTTCAATCCCACAGGAGTAATGGGTCCCAGATTTTGGACACATTCTTTAAGTTAGCCCATTTGAAGTATGTTTTCAAAAATTGTTGCCCTATGATGCACCATTTCGCTCAACTGAAGGTTACAAACAGACAAACGCTGAGAGTTTTAGTAATATATAATGATTGGAACCCTACACACCTTTACAATGACATAATTTTTACTATAAGATTCAGTATGCTGATGTTATGTACAGTATAGCTGTATATCTTGATCATGGGTCAACCAAGTGATGCTATCAAGGTCTTGTCCCAGCGCTTGTTGTGATCTGGATGGGGAAGAATAGGCTTAAGCACAACACTAACAAGACTGAGTGGCAGTGTATTTTTGATTCTGTCAGTGTTGTAGTTCTGAAAGGGGTAGCACCTCCCCAGATTTGGGGGTTCTCCTGAATTCACAGCTCCTGCTTGGATAGCAGAGAGCAGCTATGGACAGGAGGGCCATTGCTTAGGTTTGCACCATTTCCTGGACCAGGAATGCCTTTTCACGGTCACTCATACTACAGTTACCTTGCAGGGTGAACTACTGCAATATGCTCTACACAGGGCTGCCCTTGAAGACCATTCAGAAGGTGCAGCTGGTCCAGAACATGGCGGTACAAGTAGTTATGGGTGTGCCTCGGCATGCCTAATGAACACTTTACCAATGCAATTCAAGATGCTAGTTGTCACTCCAAAGTCCTTCATGGTGTAGCTTCTGGCTATCTGAGAGTCTGTGTTTCTCCTATTGCATACCATAAGATCCAACAAAGTGGGCATGTTCCAAATCCCATCTATTAAGCAATGCCATCTAATGGGACCTTAATGCCTTCTCTGTTCTGTCACCTGGCTCTGCAATAGTATTCCCCTGGAGGTTCAATCAGACCTGAGCCTTGAAGACCTCTTTCCCTGGGGTCTGGTTTAGTTTGGGGTGGGTGTTCACCTGCATGGGATTATGTTTAGCATATTGGTGGTATGTCTGTTTCTCCTGACTTATTTATTTTTAAAATTGATTTCATATATTAGCTTTTTAAAAAAAATCTATACACTTCCCAGAGTCACTGTGAGTTGGGCAGCCTTATACATTTACATTTTATATATACAGAGTGTACCAAAAGTCAGCCCCCATGGGCCAATCACAATGTTTCATTAATATTTTTTCAGAGAAAATGTTATTGTACTTAAGAATGTTCAAAGATCATTGTCAAAAGAATAAGGAAGTCTAAGAACCAAAATGGCAACCGATTCACACATTTCACGTAATTTATGATAGTCTATGGGGCATGACTTTTGTTACACCCTATGTATGTATAATTCTTTTAGTCTGCGTGTATCAGTTTAGTCAGCAAATAAGCAAACGGCACTTACACTGCCATGTAACCATCATCGGGTCACTCAGCCTAAGCGAATGAAAAGTAGCGTTTGCGAAGGAAATATTTTTCTCAGTGGTTTGTGCGCGCGTGGGTGCGTGTTTTGTAAGATCCGCGATCTCTCAGTAATTTACGATATTTGTGTTCACACGACGCACTTTTTCAGGTCGGTTGCAAACTTACCGGCTGCATCCGCCCAATATGCTAAGCTTGATCAGGTTTAATCTGACTACCGCGGTTACTTTTGTTGTGGTGGCTTCTGTATGCTGTGATTCCAAAGCTCGTTGCTTACTTAAGGTTCAGAGTACTGAAGAGAGTGCGTGTGAGGGGAGTGAAAACTGAGGCTCTGCCAGCAGGCGCGCAGAAGCTGGATGTGGGTAACAGTTACAGCACCGTGTAATTTTCCCGCTCGCGAGTCACGCCCGAGGGACCGGCGAGATCACACCAATCCTCCCAGGGAGACCAAGGTCCCGTTTGCAGCTGGAGGGGAGGGCGACAGCAGAAGGCGGGAAGACGAAGGAGGAGGAGGAGGAGACCAGGCGGAGCACAGCCAAGCAAGCCAGAGAGCCTCGGCTTCGCCTCCCGCCTCCTCCTCCTCCTCTCCCCGGCAGGTCCCGTGCGGGCGGGAGAGTCGGGAAAGAGCGAGCTGTGCAGCGCCGGAGCAATGGCCGCGTTTCCCGGCGGCAGCGGCGGCAGCAGGAACACCGGCTGCCTGCCCTGGGCTGCGCCGCCCCCCCCCCCCTCCCGTTTGGGGGGGGGGCCCTACTTGGGGGCCCCAAACCCCTCCCCCCGCGG